TCAGAAGAAATAAACTTCATCGGGTTCTTCACCTACTGTAGTGATGCTTTAGTGGGTGATACCAAGGAGCCAAAGCAACGTTTCCTCCGCAGGTGTGGTGCAACCGCTCTTGCAGAGTTTATGCTTGTGTCCTCCCATGCCTGGACATTGGGATCTGTTGAGTTCCTGTCCGTGCGTGGTGCGTTTATTGATTTCTTCTTTTTTGGAGATGGAGTATTTCCTCTGCAATAAGTAAAGATATTGTGGTTCAACTGCATGCAATTCTAGGGGTTCATCCATGTCCCAAGTCCCTTCGTTACTCACGACCCCATTTGTGTTGGATGGGCAAGTCAAGGGGCTCCCTGAAACTTTTATTGGCGATCAAGTTTGAGTCGGTGTACAAGTGGTGTTGTCGCTACTTTGATCTAATTGTAATGGCGTTGTTGAAGCCTTGGAAGAATTTGACATTCCAAAATTTATATGACCACACAGAAGATGCATTTGAGATATTACATTCTAACTCTTAGTTTAGGAGTTACTTTGTAATATCTTGAATCTTTGATCTGAAGCATACTTGTAATGGTTCTGATGCTTGAATACAGTTACACATGTACATATTTCTAAAAAGAAAGTCACTCACCGAGGCTCCTGGGTGGACAAACAGTGATGGTGGAGCAAAGGAACCACAGAGCGGGATTGTGATGTGTGGCGCTTATGTCTACAATGGCTTTTTCATATTTTTCTTCTTTTGTTTGTTGCACTTCGATCAGTTTTTTCTAGTTATGGTGCTATGTGTGGGGTATGAGTTGTACAATTGTGCAGTTTGTGTACATGTATTAGCCGCATTGAGCAAAGGTTGTTATATACATGGAATACAAGTTACAACACGCTTGTACCCTGATCCTTAGTGTGTATGTGGTTTTGACGTTAAATAACAACTTTTTGTGGCTTGACTGTCGACGACAGATGAGACTGACAAGATTTATGCAGTGATTTATCCTGAAGACGGGATGATGGAAGATGGCGGCTGTGGATCCTGGAGCATGCATAGGCGGTGCATGTTATGGGATGCCTAGACCAGATGGTCTTAAGGCCACTAGATTAGATTGTGTCTGTTATGCGAACAGGGCACATCTATATACTTGTAGGTGTAGCAACTTTGGTTTGCTTAGAAGATGGCTTTGGATTGATCCTTGTATTATTTGTCAGACTCTAGTGAATAATTAATAAAGATGGTTGTGTGCATCATGCTGATGCGGAGGCCGGGGTAATCCTTCCTTTCGAAATAAAAAGAATGATTTTTCTTACCCATACACACACTTCATATATTACTTGAGTTAGATTTCACCCATGCGTACTCGAGAGTAAACCTTAAAATAGCTAGCATCCTCTTGGTCTATGCCAAATTTGTCTACGACCTGTAAGTAGTCAAGCCGAATGGCGCGGGTGTCCTATGGTTATTAACAACCATCCGGCATGGTTAGCATTTGGAGTTTGTAGAAGAGGCATCTCGATCAATGAAACGGGGTTATACTCCTATTTTTGGGTTGTTGTTCCTCCTCTCGCCTCCTTCATATGAGAGGAGCATCACCTCCCTTTCTCGTCTTCCCAACATTCCCGCTCTCCTTCCTCCTGCCGCAGCTGTCGTGATTCGGCAGCTGCTGGGAGCCAACTCGGCAATCCGCCATCCATTCGGAGGAGGGAAAGCAACGTTAGCCGCGGCCCATTCGATAGCCAACACACACTACATCGTTACAGAGAAACCATTGCACAAACAATGGCCAACAGCTGCAAAGAACACAAGCGCGGCGTTCCACGTCCACCACCATTGTCGCTCTTCATCGGTAGGGAGCAAGAGCTAGCGGGCACGCGGACACACCCGGCTGCTGCCGACAACAGCAACAAGAAGAGGATGTTGTCCAAGCAGCTTTCCATGAAGGAGACCACCCGGGAGGTCAAGTGGGAGAAGCGGCGGCGGCAGATACAACGACAAAGGAGCAGCATGGGCTTGTACGAAGCCGACCGCGTGGGATGCGCTAACACGCACGCCACTGCGAACGCTGTGACCGATGAGGACCTGGATGAGCTCAAGGGATCCATGGAGCTTGGCTTCGGGTTCAACGAGGAGAACGGAGGCCAGAACCTCTGCGACACGCTCCCTGCCCTCGACTTGTATTTTGCCGTCAACCGGCAGCTCTCCGAGCCGAAGATGCGGGTGTGCAGCCGCTCATTGCCTTCCCTTTCTGTGGTGACCTCCTCATCATCCATGCACTCCGGCACGCCCAGCCCAGCCGGCAGTCCTACCGCTCAGCCCTCCCTCCTTGACTCGTTGAAAATTAGCAGTCCAGGTCAGTAACGTCGAACGTTTCCTTGTTAATTTCTTCCTAGTATAGATTCCGAAAGAACCATCATCTTATGTTATTATGTGGTCGGTTGTTTGGTCCTATGACTCATGCAGCTGGCGAGAACCCACAGCTTATCAAGACAAGGCTAAGGCAGTGGGCTCAGGTAGTGGCTTGTTCAGTGAAGCACTCCAGTTGAGAGCGTTGGCTGCAATGAACCACCCATCCTACAAAACCGTTGTACATCCGAGTGTTCCATTAAACGACGAGGGAGAGGACATGACTGGTGGTGCAATTAACACAACGTCTAACCTTGTTGCTCTGTAGACGCCCATGGTTGTTGTGCATAGTTTAGTCTGTATGTATGTGTTGGCAACATTAATGCACCGCCCCTTGTATTGACAGGACAACATTTGATGCAAGGACGTTCTTCTTGTTCACCAACTTCTTTAGAAACACTAACTCTTGCTGAAAAATTTCCATAAAAACTAGGCATGCACACTGGCAAGATATAGTCGACTAAAACACACTCATCCAAGGAGACAAATATCCTCCGAAAACACCACTAACTGTTTTGTACAGATTGTAGGGGAGAAAAGTTGGACCGATAAAATTTCGGTTTTGAATCAGAGATTTTAGATGGGCGTATGTAATACAACACTGAATGTCTGAAATTAAATTCGGCATTCCGGTACAGTACTTGCACCTCTGACTGCTGAAGATGTTGGTTAAATATGCATATATTATGTGAATTACTTGTCCACGACACAAGTTACATGATGTTATCATCATCCATCATAAAATGCATGCTTTTGATTGGACTTAGCGCAAATCGCTCATGTGAATATCACAATTTCTTCTATGGATTCTCAAGCCTCAGATACAGACATGGCTTACTGGGCATCTCCAAACATTGACGTTAAACAGACACTCACATATGTCTGTGGACATCTAACCTGGCGAACACCATCAAACACTATCCTTTGAACCTTTTCCAGTTAAAACAAATTCAAAGTCACAATTTTGAAAAAAAATAGACTAGCTCGATATATTACATTGAAATTTAACTAGTTCAGTATAAACTACTCAAAATTAAACTAAACTAATGCTGGATGGTAACCTCATAGGCGTGGTTTCCGAGGCCACTAGGACTGCAATCCTCGTCACGACGCTTGGGGAAGTCGGGCCAGCCGTGCCGACATGCTCGTGGGAGATCGCTACGAGTCCTCCTCCGCCTTATGTCGTGCCTTATCCTCCTTCTCATGGAGCTCATGCACTAACTCAACGATACTGATCTAGAGGAACTCCTTGTTGATCCGGCACCGGCGGGGACCAGTGTCCCATTGGTGGTCTTGGACGAGGTCACATATGTCTACTGTAGCGATCACATATGTCTACTTGCTCGGAGAAGACAAGTGAATTGTTTGACCAGTTCCAGCTATTGTGATAGTTGTATGTCTGGTTGGTGAGGTTGAGATTAAACTCTGAAGACCTGTTCTTCACCTTATTCCCATTGAGTTAAGATCACTTAAACCTCGCCAAATCACTCAGGTAAGTCTTCAAGGTAGACTTCCAAACCTTCACAAACTTCGTTCATAGGCGATCCACAATGATTCTTGGATGCTTAGAACGTGACGCCTAACTGTATGGAAAATCACAGTCTTCAAGTGTAATAAGTCTTTGGTTCACTCAGAACAGAATGTCTACACTCATGCTTAATCACTTTGGGCTTTGGGTGTTTGGGTTTTTCCTCGTAGAAAATCTCTTTCAAAGGCTTCGGAGTTTGGATTGCTCTCAAACGATAAAAGTCGTGCAATAACTCGGAGCACCCGCCAACTTATGGTGGAGGGGGTGGCTATTTATAGCTAGGGCAACCTGGCATGATTTTACCGAAATGACCATGGGCTATCAATCGATCGGCACGTGTCCCAACGGTCGGATTTCAAACACACTCGGTAACATTGCTTGGGCTACAAGAAATGCTAACTCATCCAACATTAGACGATATTTCCTCTCATTGTCTTCACTGGAAGACATAGGCTTTTGGTTAAGCAATCACTTCACCTCGACCCTTCTTAATAGTGCAGAGGTTCCTATGACTCAATAAAAGAAAATGAAACCTACGAAGAAGCTATGTCTCCACGTTCCATTGTCTTCACTCATTATCTTCAAAGGCAACCATTTTCAATAACTTCAAATATTTTTAGGGGTCATCTTCGACGGTTAAAATGAATCTTCGGGGACGTCTATCTATGTTATCCTGTGTATCTCACAAACACATTGGTCCCTCAACCAAGTTTGTCATCAACACTCCATAACCAACAAAGGGGTGGCACTAAATGCACTTATAGTTGTCGTGGCGGGAAGACGACGTGTTGGAGCGGTACCAGCCGAGGTACCATTATTTTGCTTCCCGGAGCGTCCTATGGTGTTGTCTTTTTCCCATCAAGGCGGGCGGTGTTTGCGGATGTCGGTGTGCGGGTGGCATCTAGGATTTTGTAGGGGAAAGGATTGGGTGAAGATAGGGTTTTGGGGGTCGCCCGCCAAACTTATAATAGCCAGGGTAGGCTCGTCGGGCGACGCCTCAGCCAATTGGGCATGAACTCAAGTAGATGGGAAGTCTGTGAGCTTCCATGAATGCGGAAATGAGCATGAAACCGCATCCGATG